TAAGCTTTGCAGCTTTTCAGAAATTCTGAGAGCTTTGGCGTTACCGCCAAGCAGCACTGCGTGAAAGATGATTCTCATTGGTCCGCTCTCATTGTAACTCTCGAATGTCACGTTATAGCCGGACGTAATCCGTGTACACACTAAGCGGGTAATTTGAATTTGTTATATGCACTTTAATTGTTTGAATTTCATAGGGTGGGAACTGTTAGCTCCGGATAAATATTATTTGAGTAATATAGAAATTTTATTAATATTGCTCAATAAAATTATAACGTTGACGCATTTAAAAAGAAAAGTTCATATAAACTCTTGTACTCGTACGTACCCTTACACGCAAAATTTATTTTCGATAAATTTTACCGTAGATATACAATCATGTATATTACCGGAATATTTGTTTTAAACATACTAGGTATATTCACCTGCACATATACACAATATGTACCTACCTAGGATATACTTTTTATGAACTGTGATGAATATACATGCATGTATATTCCACGAACGTTCATGTTAGGAATGTTCAACCATGTATATTCCCAGGATATTCCCGCAATGTTCTGGCATGTTTATCTGCACATATACCCAATATGTACCTACCTAGGATATACTTTTTATGAACTGTGATGAATATACATGCATGTATATTCCACGAACGTTCATGTTAGGAATGTTCAACCATGTATATTCCCAGGATATTCCCGCAATGTTCTGTATATTTTTTGAACATTCTGGGATATTCATAGAATATCAAATGCTATCTGGGAAGTTAGGTCAGATCGTCCTCTTTTGAACCAACATACATATACCAGTACTGGTTCGATCATATGCTTATGCGACACCCTGTTTATAATCTATTTTACTCGGATTCTTCTAGTAAAGCCAATAGCTTTGCGCCAGCTACCCCTAAAAGTGAATGGCGTGGATTTCAAATCTCAGTGAATAGACAGTGTAATTAAATATTAAATATTAAAAAATATTAAACAAATTGATAAAATATGAACTATTTAATTAAATAGCTCAATTAATTTGCTTTCAAACTTTAATGTTTATTTTTACCCTATTATATCACATTGCTTTTTAATTATAGATAGTAGTAGAAAATTCTTCCCTCCATAGCAAAAATTGAAGCTAACAAATATTTAAAGAAAAATATGCACACTTTTAACAAATTTTACATGATCAAATAATAACAATACTAAGTCGAATAGACTTAATTTAATGATTAGTGTGTATATTAATAATGAGTGTCCTACATAATAAAAATGTTTATTAAACTAAACTTTTAAGCGTGTTTTGATACATTTCTTAGGTCAATCCGTATACATCTCCGCCCTTCCGGTAATCAGCATTTGCAGTTATTTTTCCGTTTTCTTTCTTAAGCGCGCAAACAATTGATGACAAATTCCGTTGCATTTTGTGGCCTAGGGCTTTAAGACCATCCAAAACTTGCTGAAAAAACAGAACATTTATCAAAACTAATGTCAATTCTTCAGTTCTATTCTTCAAATTTGTCAGATTTAAAATTACTTGATATTTATAAGTAATCTCGCTTCCTACCTGTAACACGCCATATTCATACATTATTTGCATCGGATAAAGCTGATGATGGATTCTGGGCGCATCAACAGCTTCCTTAACATTTTCCTCAAACCACAGAGATCTAATGATGGTCTGTGATGAAAAAGTTTGTAAGTTAATACACGAGTTCATAATACCAAGAGTGCAATTTTGCTGTTTTTGTTAAAGATAATTCATTATTATACAGTCTGTTTGGTAAGCCGATGCATTCATTGCAGAAGGTGGCAGTATAAGTATGGTAAGCTAGGAGATGTGCTTTATTGAGTCAACACCACCTCTGCTTTGTACAAAATACAAATACAAAGTCTCCCCACATATTCGCGTCAGACTCCCTGGCCATAGTTTTATAGCCAGTAATTCTGCCTTAAGGTAAAATAGCGGTGCTTCAATCTTCTTTGTTCCTCGCACTTGCCCCAATGTGTGATAGTTTTTTCAGTTTAAAAATGATTTGTTGCTACAAAAGAAAAAGCGGAAAGGACAGAGACTACGTACGGCAACCTTTCACCGCGCCCTGCAGAAGATAAGAAGAGGGAGTATCACCATTGATCGTCTACAAAATAAGCAAAATAACTATTTTATTTCCATTTTTTAAATTTTTATTGTGACCCCTTTATTTTGGGGTCAGGCAAATCGCGTTAAATACTTGATTCATTGAAAAATCATGATTTCGCCGAGGAATCTATGGTATGATTTACATTTACAGTGAGTATAGACATACTATATCTCCATAATATATCATATTCCCAGACTTTTAAGCTATTTCACCTTTTCATAAACGTATTCAATTAAAGCTAAATTTTAACGGAATTTTATTTGAATTTCCCTATGAAATAATCTAGTTAGTAGGTACAAAGTTCGAGATGTGTTAATTGCAGGCAGCCCCAAATTCGGTGGCGATTTTATTAGCTTATAGAGTTTCGTATGAAAACTACACTCCCAAAGTCTGTATCTACTTATGCTATAACCATGGACGGCTATAATAATGCCGAAAGTTTCATTTTCTCACATAGCAGTTAAAGAAATGACAATTTTAACATCCAGAGGGTGGGAAACTAATCAATCTTGGGAGATGACTTATCAAGGAAATATATCTGAAACTACTGGTTCTATTACCTAAAACCTCTCGCAAGAAATGCATCGACTTAAAATATTTCAGACTTGTAAATACGCATGTTTTGAACAATTTATATATTCTTACCCAAGCCACTGTTGAGGTAATTACCGTGCCTCCCGAGGCACCGACAACCATTTTTGCATCCCCATCTTTATCAACAATAATCGTTGGACTCATAGACGATAATGGACGTTTTCCCGGTTGCATTTTGTTGTTTGGAGATCCCGGAAGCCCGAAGTAGTTTTTGAAATAGGGAAAAGAAAAATCGTCAATTACGCTATTGTAGATTATCCCCGTCTGTTTTGATGTCATTCCATTGCCAAAGCTAAAATGAAATAGTACCAAATAAAAACAATAAACCAGATAATAGTATGAACCCCAGGCAACTAAATAAACGAAATTTAAAAATTTTAAATTTATGACAAAACCTATTTCTATTTTAAACTAATCGTGTTCTTCCATGTAAATTGAAACAATTTATAAAATATACAATCTTCATTTGAAGTATTTATTGCAACTTATCAACCAGTCCCATTTTGGGCTTAATGCTGAGAAAGTCTTACATTAAAAATTCTGCATAAATAAGTACATTTATCCAAATTTGCGAAAATAAATAATTAACAATATTTGCTCGAAATATGCAGGGTCATCCAGAGGTATATGTAAATCTTGAAGCAGTGCATTCTATCAAATAAAAATGTACAAAGAGTTCCTATCAATTCGACCCTCTAAATGGCAAATAATACTGTAAGGCTTGTTTTGATTGCAAGGAAAATGAAAAGTATGATAATTAAATAAAACAAACAAGATATTTTGATTAAATTTCGAGCAACACGTTTTATGGAGGATTTTTTAAAACTTTATAAATTTAGAATATTTGGATATCTACTTACAAGAGATTTATGGAACTGGTGATGGATATGGCATCACCATTCTGATCTATAATCGAAATATGGGCAGTCCCATGATCGCCCTTGTCGTAAAATACGGCACCGTAGTGTTTTGGATCTTGAAACGTTGTATTATCCATTATTTTACTTCTTATATTATGTGCGTATTCTTGTGACGTTAAATTTGATAAGAGCTGAAATAATAAGAATAATTTCAGTTAACAGTAGTTAAAATATTTCTATATAAAGTCTTAATTAAATCAATATGAAACATTAGCATGGACTTTATCATGTGTTGATATTTTTGTAAAATAATTTTTTAATGTATGTTTCAGATGTTTTTTCTGGGTTATTGAACGTATATTATATTAGGTCGATTTACGTTGTAGCCGCATAGAAAACCTTTTGTAGTATTATATTAAGAACTCTAAGGAAAAAAATCATATAACGTTCTGCATGGTGATCAACGTAAAATGTAATCATGATATATTATTTTCTCTAGCTCCGTAAAGTAGCCTTTCTTGACAATATCGAAATTTATCAGAATAAGAAGTTGATCAGTATTGAAACGACCATTTTAATTTATAATTATATCAATTTTTTGTCAAAGAGCAGGTTTTATTAATTTTAATATCTTTTGACTTTCTCGAAACTTTGCTGGGCAATTCAACATTCTATATAAATTCAAATTTTATATATATTATCTTTTGTTCAATACTGTTTAATGGATGCCGTTTGTTTATTAGAAACGCTAGAATATTTCAGTTTGTTCGCATTCTTTATTCGATTAGGATTTTACTTCTTTCGACTTAATGATTTTTATGCTATTGTTAATTCAGGTATTATAAACTTTTGAAGAACTATATGATTTTTTTGCGTCTGCAGTCTTGCGGCCCTAACGAACGTATCTTAAAAACTTGGATTTCGCTCTACCTAAACGTTTTCGTGCAAACATGATGTAGCTAGAAAGGCATTGAATCGACTTTTTCGTTGTAAGCAAAATCAGAATTACAGCTATTCCTTGTAAGCAGCTACCAAAAAACTTCTTAATTTTTGTACTGTAAAGAAATGGTGGTAACGGGTGCCATGAGCTTCACAATCACATCAGCACAACAAGCAGATTTATTCTTCATTGAAAAGCTCATTTTGTTGCAAATGCTCTTTAGGTAGTTCGCTTTTTGAGCTGGCTGTTGTTTTCTTTCGATTCTTTATAACCGATTTTTTTCCCATGATTCCAGAGGTAAACACCAAAATATGGTGATAAAAGCGCAATTATCTCCGTATTTTTCATTGGATTCTCTTATCAGAACTGGAAACTTTTCTGCCACGCTGTTTTTCAAAAACCATAGAAATGTGCCCTGATTTAGTTACTTGGGAATTGCAATATCATATTTTATGATATTTTGGATGATTTCAGTCCGAATATTAATTGACATTTATTCTTGTGAATTTGAAATTTCGCAATTAATTTGTATTTTCTTCACTCCACAGTGTCCAAACTATGAATATTCGCTTGTCGATCGCTTTTTAGTGAAATAACGTTCATCGGCAAATAGGACAGCCGAAAAAAGGTTGGTGGGTTCTAAGCGACTCTGCGTCATTTTCCGGAATGTTTGTGCGGCGAGACAAAAACCTGATAATTAACGGTAAACATTTTTTGAGAATCGTTTTTTTCAAATTTTAAAATTGTTTCAAGTTGAGTCAAAGTTGTTACTGATATATTTCAAACTATTTTCTCCAGTTCTAGAGAATATTATCATAGAATATTGATGGAAAATTGCTTTGTAAGTTTTTGCTCAGAAACTCTCATAGATACAAAAATTCAGTAACCAAACGTTTCTAAATCGAACAAGGAGTTTCAATGTTTTTAAAGGTACATTCATGAGCGCAAAACACGATAAACGAAAATAGTTTTCGCTCTTCAACACTCTAGGTCAGTAACGGAGCATTTCCTGATTACATTTATATGCACTTTGCACTCCATTTTACGTTTACGGAAATTGCATGATTTTTGTTTTAGTTATGTTTTTCCGATTCAACATTTTCTTTAGCCATATACTCACATCACTTATATTAACAAAATTCGTATCTCCTAGTTCAGTTCTTTTGGCATACGCATATTTGAAAGCCTCAATGATTCGATGATAAGTAAGTACTGTCGAGTTCAAATCTTCTATGTTGTCCCTGTCGAACTGGTAACCGTCCAAAATGCCCAGAATTAAAGTTAAAATAGCGCCGGAACCAGGAGGTGGAGATGTGTAAACGGTTTCTTGAGTGCTGAATTTTATGCTAATTGGGTCCATCCACTCTGCCCTAAAAAGAAAATAATTTAAAAAGTTTATCTTAAAACTCTTTTGCAATATTAAAAAACGTTTATATTAAAACATAAATTAAGAACAGCTTTTGCTAACCTTAACTAACTTAGCAACTGAGTTTTCGCAAAACCATTCATCGATATTATTATTAAATTTTCATACTCACTCATATTTTTCTAAATCTTCGGATGTGATTATCCCTCCAGCTTCTTTCAAATCATCCAAGAACATTTTAGCTAGTGTACCATTGTACAAGTCATCTCCACCATTCACTGCGATCAAGCTCAAAGTTTTGCACAACTTCGTTGGCACTATTCGCGAGCCATATTTTTTATATTCGTTGTTTTTATCTTTGAACCATTCGCTGCAATTAAATAGCATAAATTAAGTAGAATGCGACGTTAAAATTCGTTCCAGCAATTACTTGAAGTTGGTATCTTCATCATCTAGCTTGTTTTTGAAAAAGGCATTGTATTGATGTTTGGTCATGATGTAGCCTTTGTTGCACAAGTCTACAGCAGGTTGAACCAGATCTTTCCACTCCAAGGTGCCAAATCGCTTATACAGTTCCCAGTATCCTTTCAGTTCTCCTGGTACTGCTACAGCCAAAGCCCCTAAACATCCCAACATAAATATATAAATATAAAAATTAATTCCTGGGTTTCAGTCATTTATTGTCTCTATTTATCAATTAAAATACGTTTCGGTGTATTTTTCCACCATCATCAGTTTTTATGTGT